CAATGTTTGCTCATACGAGAAACACAGAGGATATGCACTACATTGCGACAATTCAGTAATTCTGCTACCCACAATAATTGATCGAACCAAGAACGTCACTTAATGGTCATCTCAAACGTCAAGGCCAAGGCCAAGTCTGGCGTCATGGTAATGCCAGCTTCTGAGCGAGGCCTTGAGGCCATGAACCTTTGATTCAAGGTCTTGCAGGAATTATTATTGAGAGGTGAGCGCCCTAGCTTTAATAATCCAAATTTAATTCGAACAGAATAAAACAAAACTCTATAGGTCAAATCACGCGCTAACAATTATTTTTTTATTCTACAGGCACTACATTATTCTTCTTTTTGCTGAGCAATAAAATTTCAACGGACTAAATAAACCGTTGTTTTTTCCTTATAATGAAGCGATAGCAACCAGTAAGAAATTTTTGCAGTCATATCATTTGCGGCTAAACGAGCAGCGGCCGATCACCGATCATTCTGTGATAATTTCCAAATGGTATCAACGGGATGAAGTTGACGGCTACCCAACACGAGTAAAATAAACGTGGCTACTCTGGTCCGTGGATTTCAAGGAGAATCAATAAAGAACAAAACTCCAATAACACAAGACATTTCGTTAAATTCCGCGACTTTCTGACCCTTCAATGCTGGATCTAAAGTAACTAGGAGCTAAATTTTAATAATTAGCCTCGCGTAAATAGTCATCATTGATTTCCCTCATGAGCAAGCAAATGCGCCTTGGCAGCGAACCCCAGCGAGACCCCAGCCTCAACGCAATTTTAAGCAACTACAATTCCTTCAATATAAAATAGAGCAAGAATCTCCATGATATCGTCACCGTTAACCTTATTTTAATAATTGAGACTAGTTTGCTCTTAAATTCCTAATGCATTTACAGATAAGGCCGTACAATCAACCTTGTGCTGCCCATGCCAAGTTCAATCCCTTATTAAAACTACAGTAGAACAAATAATCTAAAGGTCAATATTCAATAGCCGCTACTTGCAGAGGTAAGTTTCTCCTTCAATGGTGTTTCAACTCGCAAAATAAGTCAACCATTAAGCCTCCGTGCCGGCAATTTCGTAATGTTATCCGCACCGCAATACTCATTCGAATTGAATAAAAAATCAAACGGTAAAAGTTCAGATGAAATTTTAGAGCACAAAAGCTCACGTTTCGTGTCTCAAGGTCATCTCATTTACAGTGCTTTTATCTTTCATTTTCCCAGCGAAGGCCGAACGAGGGTACAACGGCCGAGCTATCGAGCGACACTTCTCCCCACACCTCCCCACTGCAACCTCAAGCGCGCTTCCCCAGTCCACGTGACCACTCCGACTTATAAAACATAAAAATTATAAGATCATTTTTGGTACAAGAACAATACACACAGTATTTAATTATTAAGTAAGAAGTTTTACTTCCTTATCCATAGTACGGGATAAATAACAAGGGATCCAATCGGATTGAAGGGATCCTTCAATAAGCAGGGCTGCAATACAGCGCTCTATTGAAGTGCAAGCATTGGAATGAAATGAAAAATTACAAGTTCAAGGCTACACGTGAATACGCGGTGTTTACTCACCAGCTTGTTACGAATCTCCACTTCGGACGTTCAGTGATATGGTTATAAGGTTCAGAATTTTATAATGTAATACAGTCCTATGGTCTCGGCTTCAAAATTATCTTATAGAATCCGGCTGCAGAAAAAACGGATGTACAAAGCAGGAAATTTAGTAGGGACAGCATATAACTATAACAATGATCAGACCGCACTATTTCGGATCAGTTAGACGGGAAAATGCTACAGTTCAGGATCTGCAAGAGTAGCATGAAGCGAGACGGGTAAACGCACGAAACAAGGGAGCAAAAATCGAAAGCATCATAAGCAAGTGAAGCTATAGGAAGAGAAGGGGAAAGAAGAGGAGGGCCGAGGACACTTGGTAGCGGGGGTGATTGCGGGGACAGCAAGAGTGGGAGGTTGGGATCACTGGCCCGGTGACCTTGACTGAGCTCAGCAAGAACAACAAGAGCAGCAGCTGCGCCACTGCAGCTCTGCTGCATCACAAGCAGCTACAGAAATGACTGCAGAACTGGCGATAGAAACGATGAACAACAACAAAAGAAGCTTAAGAGAATCCGCAAGACAACAGACGGTATATTAGTAACAGAGATAAACAGCACTTATGGTCAAGAATAAACACAAAGAAGCGATGAACAACTCGGGCACAGTTTGTAACGGTAACAAAATGACAAGTAATTACAGGATTTAGACTCGTAACTTCAAGCGGAACTTCAGGCAGCTCTTGTACTACGCGCAAAATAGGTGATTCAACGGATCAAGTTCGAAGCATACTAAATCGTTGCAATACTTTACAGTGCATCATGACAAGAAGTCATACTCCACTTGAGTCAGAACACTCACACTTCAAAAGATACTGCACGAACGAGCAGAAAACAACGGCTGCAAGTTTCAAAATGAATTTGCCCGTCATTGGTATAAGTGATAAGTTTGATTAGTTAAAGATATCTCTCGATAACACACGCATTGGACACAAATAATCGGTTTTCTCGTAAAAAGGTTTTACGCAACAGCAATATTATTTTAGCAGTTAAGCTAGACCGGTGAGAATTATTCAACAGTTAATAAACAGTTAAAGATTAGTTTGTACGTACGACACATTTTCATGGAGTAAAAATTACTTACCTTGGTGACCGTGAATGCTACGTTCACAGTACATCATGTGTTCTAAAGCGCGATTGACATGATGTATATAAATTACATCGGGCATGACGGGATCAAGGATATATGATGCCACAGTTGTTTTGAATGTTCTATGTCTTTGTCTTTAGTGATGTATAGATGACATTTTGTTTTACGTAGTTTTCATGCATTGCAAGAAGACAAAAATGTACATACCTCCAACAAGTTTACAGCAAAGATACGGCGCTGAAGAATATTTGCACTCATTCTGAGGTCACTTGAAGATAGAACAAAATTACATTCGTAAACGATAGGCGTGCATGCGACGCAAAATTTAAGATTTACCAAAAATTAACTCTCCTAATCCTAGTGAATGCATTTCGTGTTCCGAACTTTACCACAAACACCTCCCGCACAACCCAGCCTCGCCTACCTGCTCTAAGTCTCCCATTTGGTCCACTTTTTTTGCTCCTGACGACGTGGACTTCAAAACAACGAACTTGGAGGCACAGGTTAGGAAATGCTGGAGCCTCGGACAGCAAGGAACAATCATAGTGGACAGAAAAAAATATTTGCTCCCATAACCCTAACTGACGTAAATAAGTAGATGCCCGTCAAGCGTAAAGGAGGATCGAAGGTCACCAAGCTAGGTCACCCCACGTGTGTATAACACAGAATGCACACTGCAAACGGACGTCTCAATAACGTTTTATTACACTCGAACACGAATCAATACCTCTGTGCAATGTAAATCACATATAAATCGACCCATCAATCCAGGAAAATTTTTAGCGAAAAAATTCTGATACTATGTATCATATATGCCATGTTTACTGCATAGCCCTAGCTCTGCAAAAGTATTCATATTCCATCTTTTATTACTTTTACTCGTCGTTTAAAACATTCAGTTCTGTTGAATACACGATGTGGGACTGTGCGATACAATTGTTATCAGAAGCACACCTGAAGGAGACCAACACCGTAGAAATAGCAGCTGTAATATAATAGAGTGTAAGAGTGAAGGTAGAAACATAAACGCGTTCAACAAAAACTCTTTGGACATTGCATGATGATTCGAAAATATAATCTAGTAGAAGTTCCGCAGATTTAATAGTACCGGCGCATCACGACCTCAAAGTACTCTAAAGTTTCCGAAATAAATAATGTTATTATTTTCATTATTATCAAGATGTTGTCAATATTACCCTGCTAGCTTCAAGCAAATCTTGTAAGCTATGAATATGCTGACCGTTCGAAGTCATAAGGATATGTGTGGACAATTAACTCTGGTGAATGTCTTTGTTAAAGAAACTCTGGTTAAATAGGGTTACTTTTAAAAGCATCACAGCGGCCGCCAAGGAGCCTCTTTTGTGGTCAAGGTCACATCGTTCGGTCACAGCTATAACAAGCTCGTGACGTGAGATGAATGTCGACCTAACGTACACACGCACACAAGCACTTGCCTCCAACTTCAATAGCCTGGATCAAAATGAACCAGAACAGTGATCTGAATTTCGACAAATATTTTGGTTTCACGCCTACGAATTGGGAGATCTAATTTGCATCTAGCAAGATAACCATCTGATTACGTGGTCCATTTGTGAGTAGCTCGTTCAACGGCAATCGAAGGTTGTCATTGCTTGGTCGTTGCAGCTGCAACAGCTATTGTACTGCATGACACTGCGCTGCTTTTGTATCACTAGACTTACAAGATAAAGGGCTCTTGAGGCCTCTTCTCCTTGCAAAGGTAAAATTTGACCTAGTGAAAATTAATGGATGAAAAGCATCCATTCGGGCTGCTCTCAAGCAAATAACTGCTGTGTCCGGCATATAAAAGGGGAGTGCACTAATAAAACTGTTAATACTGTGTGATAATACTTACCGAGTGCACTGACAGAGAAGATTAGGTAATGAGTGTGGCAAAAAGTTCTCATTTAAACTCTACATGACTTATGGTTATGACATATGAGTTAATGGAATTGATTTAAATCCTACCTAAACGTAGGCAAAAGTGAATATTCAAGAGAGTAAAGATAAGTTGAAGTGAATGAAGGATGATTGAAGCGTATAAAATTGGGTAAAGCGATTGACGGTGACGGGATGGGAAGGCAAAGTGGTTCAGGGTGGAGTAAAAAAAATGAAGGTTGAGTGGCAAGAAAGAAGGTGGAGTGAAAAATGCCGGCGGAGTGGAAAAAATGAAGACGGACTGAAAAAAGTGAAGGTGGGGTGAAAAAAGTTAAGGTGGGATGAAAAAAGTTAAGGTGGGGTGAAAAGAAAGAAGGTAGAGTAATACTCACCTTGCAGCCTTCGCAGGAGTGAACCCCGTAGTGGAATCCAGAGGAGCGGTCGCCACACACGCGGCACAATAGCGTCCTGCCATCGAACTCTGCGGTGAAACAAAAATCTTTGTGAAAATATAGTGTGCAATTCATCTGCGAAACTTTTACCTTCAACGCAATTGTAGTCACGACTGATAGGTAAAAATTGTCATCTATACGAAAATGGTTTGAGAATTTAACACTTGATTAATTAAACGAAATTATTATGGCTTTTTAAGCGATTGTATTTAAATCAATCTTCACATCAGAATTCGCTTAAGGTTACAGCAAACAATTTGCGTTCAAGTCGCCAGAGAAAAAGTATTTTGGTAATTTAAAACGTATATAGTCTAGTAAATAGCATAAAGGTTATAATTCTAAATGCTTTTGCTAAATATTAGTTTGATCAGTCAATATGCTCGAAATTCCCCCAAGAAAAACAAGGGCATTGTTTAAAATTAAAGAAGGCTAATTTGAACCTGAGTGCAAGTAATTCTCTTCGACTAAAGAAATGAAGTTTTTCAAGTGAAACATATTAGGCAAAGATTAATTGATTCTTTCAATAACTGAGCAACGCATTTCAGATTTTATTCTATATTGTTACGACACGGTGATGATCAAATAGTTTGATCAAATCTGGAAGAGTTAATCCTATTTGAGAAAGAAAACGAGAGACAGAAAATGAAATAAAGTTTCGCTGCGTACTATTTTATTTTTTGTCGACACTATGAACTCAATCTCAATATTAATGAGTGGAATAAGAAATAATTTCGGAATTTATGAGCAAAATAATAAACACTACACCAATAAAAATAAATAAATTAATGAAATCATAAATCACGGGACAATTGTCCTGCATTTATTGTACAAGTACTTCAAGATGAGGAACTTTCCATCATGAATTTTGTAGAATAAAAAAAAATTAAAGGTGGGGACCGTGGGGGTGCACTGACACAGGTCACTGAATAAACGCTAAACTTGTTTTAAAAAATTATATTACTTCTTTGAGTGTAGAATGAATGTAACAAATTCTTAGCTCCAATAATAGAAAGTTATAAGGTGTTCAGCTACAACACAAATTTCTCTATCTAAGACTAAAAAAAGAAAATAACCAATTGACTAGGAGATGTATTTTTGTGACACTGAATGAGTTAATAATTCATGGTCGACAATGGAATTTCAAGTCAAAGCGGATCTGCAGAAGGAGTCGGTAACCGAATTTTGAGCAACGGTCGACTCGAAAATAGAATCGAAATCAACTCTCGAAATTTGCACGTAAATGAGAAATATAGCCGCACATGCAGAGAAATGGATGGATCTGAATCATAAACGAGGCATACGATAAGTAAAAAAATCCAATTAAAAAAGTAAAATTATCTGAGGTTATATTTTAAGCATCATCGTAACTCACCAATTATCACTTTATCGATCACCGCATAAAGACTTCCTTTGCCTTTCTCTGGAGTATTCGGCATCGGCGTAACATCGGAGGTCGATGTAGGCAATGCGCTGTGAACAGGGCTGTTGTCTAGAATCGGACCGGACTCCAGAAGCATTTTTGAATCACAAGAACTACGATTTGGAAGCTCAGTTTGAGTCACCGGCGCCGACGTTTCGAGACTTGAGACGCATTTAGCACCAGGCAACTCGCTGTGAGATGATGCGAAAGGATGATTTGGAGTGTTAGGGGTGGCAGGACAGAGGTACTCGAAAGTTGATTCGCAACGCGGTGGCGACACCTGCTGGTTGTTCTCCAAAAGGTACGCCGTTTTGTTAACGATCTTGATACATTTAGAAGAATTATCAGGAGGGGACGATGGAGGAGAGTACACTGTAGATGACGTGAAAGGGCTTGGAGTCAACTGAGTTTGGGAGTAGCTAATGGTCGAATATTGCGTTGAGTCCAGTCTAGGCGAAGGCTCTTGTAAAGTCATGGGTGGCGGCGGAGAAAATGCATGCATGTCGGATGAGTTCATCGTAGGAGAAGCAGAGCGTTCAGTCTTTACACAAGTTCCGTCTTCGCCTGTAGAGCCAGAATATGTGGCATTGGTTCTTTTTAGTGTTTCGTCGTAGCTTTGATCGGCGGTAAAGTAAGTGTTTGAGACTTCATCTTGCAATCGCTTGTCAATGAGATCTTGTCTCAGGTCCTGATTATAGAACATCTCTTCTGACTGCCTAGAGCGAGGATATCTAGGTTCAGTTCCGTGGAAAGCACGAAGTGGAATTATGTGAAAATTGGAATCAGGGTGTTTGGAATCGTTAGAATCCAATCGCTCCCGAGGATAACCTGGGTGCCTAATACTGGGCAAGCTTGATGAAACCCTAGAAGACGTGTCGGCGTAGTTGCGAGTAAGCATGGAGTACGGATGTGGTCTTTCAAAGCATTTGCGGTCTAACGACGAATCGCAAACAGTGTTCGAAGATACCCTTCTAACATGGTTTTTACTGTCACTAACGGAAGAATGAGCTTGAGTCACTGTAATGGCAGATATGGGAGGAAGTCTGTCACGAGGTGCATTGCAATTAATTGTTTGCATTTCATTAGTGCATCCGGCAACTGCACGTCTCAAGAACCCGCTGGGGGGTGCCATGTCCGTCTTTACACTATTCATTGTTTCTGGTTAAATCTTATTTTCAAGTTCAAACCAAGTTAGCTTATATTAATTTTGTAAAATCGCGCCAAGCCGAATAAAACTTTACGTCAACATTATTCCAAGTGTAGCAATCACCAGCTCTCACTGTAGAACACTCGCTATCAACAGCTGAGTAACAGAAAATGTTTCACTGTCACTGAGAAATTTCGAATCTACAACACCCGCAAGAACCGAAAGCGTTTCACCGGTGCAGAGGCTGATACCACACCTGACACACAACTTCGACTATGATGAGACAGCGACTGCCTGTAGCAGAGCCAGGCTCAGCCAGCAGGCCAGACCATCAGCGACCGCCAAACGTTTTGCCCTGAACAACATACGAGTTACCCTGAACCTGAACCAACTTGCTCCTACTGACGCATCTAATACACACGCGGTTGCCAGTTCATTGTATGGAATCATGAAAAAGTTCTCATTTTAATGGGATCTTTCTTATTTTGTAGTTATGAGTTAACACCGGCATTGATGAACGATAATAAAGAGGAAATTAACGATGAAACGAATTTTATAAACGTATATTTACCTTCACCTTTGTAGGTACTGTTATATTTACCTGTGTAGGTAAATATTGAAACCTATCAATCGCTAGTTAGCGAGTGATAGTTTTCAATATCATTATTTATGAAACGGCAAGGTAAAATTATTGATGCTCTCGGAAACAAATCGTAAGTCCCTCTTCCATAAAAAAATATTCCCAATCAATAATTTATTTGGCCTGATAACATTTGCACTAATTTTGAACGTTATGATGTCAAGATTTAAAACTTAATGTAAAAAGGGCTGTTGTTATTAAGACCGAAGTCTACCCACATTCGGTGACTGTCTTTAGCAATATTGGACAAGTCAATTAAAAAATTTGACAACTTGGGCAAATTTACCCCACAAGTCAATTGTGGCTCAATACAAACTATACTGGATGTCCCAAGGCGTTCCATGAAAATTACCATCACTTTGTATGACTGCTGCATTTGTAATAATCAATATTATTTCAACCAAGTACAGTATTTGTCGTGGCAGCATTGCCACTTAAGAACTGTTACCGAATTTTTAGGCTAATATACGAGCCAAATGTAGGGATTTTGATTTATTTTACCCTGATTTAGAGAATTTACCCGCAAACTCATTAAAACTCCTCGTGCAGCAAGAGAGCCAGTGAGTGGCAGGGCTCAGCAAGAACAGGTGACGTCGCAACCACACTGCTTCCTCATTGGTGGGAAGCTCTTCACGCCGTTGTCTCATTGGTAGCCTCAAGAAACGTCACAAGTAAGGACACTGACCCTCACCAAGAACGATAGCTGCTGGCATTGACTTTGAAATCTTTTAAGCTGCGTTCATAAGTCAAAGAAATTCGTATGATGTGCTGCCCTCATAAATATTGAAGTTTTACTACAGCACATGAACCAGTTATTCAAAATGTTTATTAACTAGTTCATAAGCAGATTTACGGCAATTTATTGCGACAATCAAATCTTTTCTCGAAATTTCAACGGACGTTGCAAGCTGAACGTTCGGTTATGGAATCAACATTATTTTGGTCCCGCGTGCGCACAGGAGCGGCACTGAAAAACAAGCAAGAGAGAAAAATTTGCTCAAGTGGCACTATTTTAATAGAAGTTGTTTACATAACTGTGCGCCTATAGTTTGCGAGCATCAGGATCATTGAGGCCCTCGCTCTTATCATTTCAAGGCCAAACCTTCGATCTGGGTAACGAACTCGGTTCTCACGGCAGTATTTCTATTTCTGGTATATAACTATTCACAGTAAAGCTCAAGGAAAAACACTGGGTATTGTCAATTATTTGAGGCTTCCTGATAGGTGTAAAAGACCATCACTACGCAAGAGAAGTACGGTACTGGCTAACGCGACCTTGCAGCAATAGGAAGCATGCAGAGGAAACACAGTGATTGCTATATTGTTGCTGCACTTGTTCACTTTACAAAGCCAGTTCCTAATATAACAGCATTAGTAGAGTATCATAGGCGCCATCTTTGTCGTACGCTTAGTACCCCTACTCTAGTGACCTTCGAACGCTTTCCTATAAGCAAAGCTTGATTACGTTCACTTATGCAAGGTTTGTGCATATGAGCAACTCTCAGCGTTGTCCCCGAAGCAGGATTCATGGCAAGCGGAAGTCTAATGCGTTATTTCCCGATGTGTTGATGAAGATCGGTCAATTCTGAACATATTAACAAGACTGAACACAACAGCAGCCTACGCGCTCGTTCGCACGGGGCGCTACTGGATCTCATTGAGTGTTGTTCTCGTAGAGCGTCTCAGTTACCTGCGGGTGTCTTAGGTTAACTGCAGCAATTCAGATGCACTCATATAAACTTGTGTTCCTCATACCAGAAGAATGAACCTTTAAAAAATGTATTCTCCATGAACCATAGCGCCATTATTCAATAATTAATATTGTTATCAATATTAATCTTAATCAATTTAATTAATCAATCGAAATTATGTCGATGTTTCTCACAGGGATATTGCGCAGATATGCGAGTGGGGGAAGCACAAGAAACTAACCGTCGGATAAAAATGTAAACTTTAAACCTTTTGAACGTAATTTAAAAATTTCACCAAAATGTGAACGCACTTTCTTTTAAGCAAGTGGTTTGAGGATGGATGGCTCTCACAAATTACCAAGTATCTTGAACAGTATTGAAATTTTTTTAATACATTATAATATATAACTTCAAGTAACTTCAATATTTAATATTCAGCAACAACTCGTTGTTTTTAAATGCAATGTTAACTTTCATCGGCAGTTTGAGCTCTTCAAACACGGTTTCTAGAAATAAAAAGTTACAACTTAGAGGTAGTAGACTGTATCGCTGTATCTTCGGTACTTGTATCGAATATATCAGCCTAAACCATACTACGTCACGGCTACGCAGCTCAATTTGCAGCTGTTATCAATGCTTTAGTGAATTCCTTTGGCTTGCAAGCGAGCAATAGGCCTACAGGGAGAGAATAGGCCTCTCTCCTCAATTCGTTCAGCCTATACCTTTTCTCGCCAGCCGTGATGCCCAAGGTCAGGACCACGCAACATATGGGTCACCCCTACACTAGCAAGAAGTAGCTGTTGTCTGCAAATTCGATCATTGCGGAAAACTGAAATTAAATGGTGCACGTATTTCACTGAACTTCAGTTATTCAAACTTGCATGTATGGGAAACGAGTATTAATTGAAAATACAATAGAAGCACCGAACGAATGATTTCATCATTTCCGTAATAAAAGCGATAGATGCGTTTTTCAGGAATTTATAGCATGTGTAGACTATTGTATAGAATAAATATCTAAAAATTTGCTGCTAGAAACGTTACACGTAGCTTAATTGGATTTCAATGTTATTTTAGTGCGTATGTGTCATCTCAGAACTTAGGCGTGTCAATAATTATGATCGCAAAATCTATTGCGCTGCTAAAACCACCAAGATGAAAGTGAGAGTCGCCGGGAACCTAAAAAGAAAGCAGCGATAGAGAGCACGAAGGTCACGACTTTCACTTCGGATGTCAGCGCCGATCGCGCGAAACTTGCTCGGTTTCCAAACCTCGGAGGAATTCTAAGAAGAAGATGCGATATCACGAATTCCATGAGCCGATTGAAATCCGCGTATCCTAACAATTACGACGAACGCAGACGTAAAACTTGTGCTTACGACCATCGTATCCGAGCGAGCGCAGACGTAAAACTTGTACTTACGACCATCGTATCCGAGCGAACGCAGACGTAAAACTTGTGCTTACGACCATCGTATCCGAGCGAACGCAGACGTAAAACTTGTGCTTACGACCATCGTATCCGAGCGAGCGCAGACGTAAAACTTGTACTTACGACCATCGTATCCGAGCGAACGCAGACGTAAAACTTGTGCTTACGACCATCGTATCCGAGCGAACGCAGTCGTAAAACTTGTGCTTACGACCATCGTATCCGAGCGAGCGCAGACGTAAAACTTGTGCTTACGACCATCGTATCCTAGCGAACGCAGACATAGAACTTGTGCTTACGACCATCGTATCCGAGCGAACGCAGACGTAAAACTCCACATGTAAAGTTCCTAGTCAAAACCAAATGCTGAGCATTGTTCATGATCATACAGCAGAGTAAATGTTTCAGAGCATTTGGTGCTTCATGTGAGCACCAGTTTCAGAGCATGTGGTGCTTCACATGAGCACCAGTTTCAGAGCATGTGGTGCTTCACATGAGCACCAGTTTCAGAGCATGTGATGCTTCACATGAGCACCAGTTTCAGAGCATGTGGTTCTTCACAGCAGAACCAGTTTCAGAGCATGTGGTTCTTCACAAGAGCACCAGTTTCAGAGCATGTGGTGCTTTCTTCACAGGAGCACCAGTTTCAGAGCACGTGGTGCTTTTTAAGAGCATCAGTTTCAGAGCATGTAGTTCTTCACAGGAGCACCAGTTTCAGAGCACGTGGTGCTTTACAGGAGCACCAGTTTCAGAGCATTCACAGGAAGGCATGGGCAGGGTTAGTTTGCACGCCGCGTCGCGCGTTGCAAAAATGAGGCCGCGGCGTCGGCAGAGCGCTGGTGCGTTAGGCTTAAAACATCTAATTAGATTCGCTCCTTCAAGCACCGCTCGCAAAACATGCGCACTCATCAGCCCGATGAAAGCAAAAGCAACACAGTTCAGCGAAATGAAACGATCGAATATTAGAAAACGAGAGTCAACGTGCTATTAGTATTGTACATGTTGCAAAGAAGTAAATGCTACAAAACGTGCATAATAAAAAATGCAATCTTGCTGCAAGTAGCTTCACACTACAAGAAAATACATGCTTCATAAATCGGTGAAGGCTCCCTGAAAATACTTATCTTTACGAGGAATATGCTGAAAGAAGGTACATCTTCCCAAATGAAGTACATGATCTAAAATTAGTACGCGCTAGAAAAAGCACATGCTAGAAAATATCCAGAAATGTCCACGCTCCATGGATGGATGCTATAGGTAATAATAAGGGCATGAACAAAGAGGTAATTACTCCAAGACGTGGTATGCTCCAATGAAATGCATCTTCTAAAGAAGTTTAAGTTAAGTTAAGGAGGTATATGGTCCATGTAAGTTCGTGTTCCACCGAAGTTCATGTTAAAATGACGTTTGAGAACTATCGAAGTTCATTATCACGGAACTGCTTGTTCCAAGGAAGTTTATGTTCAAATAAGCATACGATAAGCTTAAGTTCAAGTTTTTATAATGAACTTGAATGCTCCCGATGAGAAGTTTGATTTT